GATCACTTAAATTCTAAAAGGATAAAAAAATAAAAATTTATATAAATATTCGTTTTTCTAAGAAAAACTTTTTAAATACATGTAAATTATTTATTTTGTAAAAAATAAAGTAAAAATGTAAGCGCTTTAATATAAGACAATTATTTTGTAACTTTCAAAAAAAAGCAAAATTTTCATATGCTTGACCATAATAATCAAATGAAAATATTTTCTTTATATTTTTGCTCAGTTATATAGAATTTTTGCGTTAACACACCTTAAAGAGTCATAATACTCTATCAAATTTTATAAATTAACGATATATGTCTGGCAAGTACAATAAAACAGTAGATATAATACAGAGTATATAATAATTTTCTCTTTTGATGTTTTTCATGTATAATAAAAAATTTTACGGGTTATTAAAGCTTTATTGTAATTACTAGAATATTAAAAAACTTAAAAAGTTTTATAAAGGTTTTAAGGGCTTCAAATAACTTTATGGTCTGAGAGAAAGTATGTTTCTAATTTTTCATGGAAGATGTTATTCGAATTATTAAATACATCAATCATTTTTTGATGGTATATGCCATATATTCTATTAGTTGTTTTTGTTACAGTAGTAAATATTGCCATACTAGAAGAATAAGAACATATATATCTAACAAACAGCAATATTGTAATGTCTTTTAATACTTTTCTTTTTTTTTTCAAATTTCCTCCAAACAAACTCTTTGAGAAGATCCTATTTGTTCCATAAGAAGAATGAACTGAGGACAAGCACGAAGACTGCGACAGTATGAAATTAGTATTATACGTGATCCCATAGGCGAGGTTACTAACTATAGGCAAAACCACGAAAAACACACTAAAACGACTTATATTAAATTATTTTGCACCCATAATTTAAATAACATGTAAAGTTACTTCATTGACTTTTCGAATAAAAGTCTAACATTTAAATGGTTTGTTTTGGTTGCTAAATCACTAAAAATCTTGCTAACATGATTTGGAGACTAAATAGTTTTTTAGTGCGAAAAAAATTCTAATTTATTTTTAAATTGTCGATTGAGCTGAAATTTAGAGCAATATATTTAGTAACAATTAAAATATTTGTTACAAAAAATATTGTTGTTCTTAATGATAATTTAACTTGTATAACAAAAAAAATAGGCTCCATTAGTAAATAAAATAATATTAAATTTATTTTAATTAGTTTATAACACGAAACAACCACAGAAGATCTTTCTCTTATAAATACTTTATATACAAATGGAATACTAATTATAAAATTATATGAATTTACAAAAAATATCCGATATCAGGCAGTATCACTTTAAATTATTGTATTATTAAACATGAAAATGTGGTATGCTTCACATAAAAAGCATTTTAGTTAGTGACTGATCAATCATGTATAGATCATAAAAAAATATCTATTAAAAAATTAAACTTTAGTAGTCGCTAGCAAAAGAACTATATTTAAAATAAATGGAAATTGATTGTTTTGTGTTAAATATTTTTCTTTGTAAAATTTGGTTTTTTGTGCTTCTTTTTTTTGATAGTTTCTTCTGTTATCTGTTTGGCATTTTTTTCTCGTGTTTCACTGCTTATATCATATAAATATCAGATGCTTTTAAAAAAGCTACTGCTTGCAATAATTTCAATCGCCATTTGTTGTAGAATGATTGGCCTGTGTGGATATATGTTTGACATAAATCTACTATAAAAAGTTCAAACATGTAATAATACATTCATAAAGTAATTCTATCGAAATTTATACGTGTTTATTTTTTTAAGAAATTAATATTATTAGGTTTTATTTATGTAAGGCATTGTGGGCAATAACACGTTCTACAGTTTTCTTAATTCGAAAATCAAATGTAAAAATGGTGTTTACTGTTTTATTTCAAATTTACCATGTATTAAGTAGTAGATACGAAAGACCTTAAACATCAACTTAAAATCGCTAAAAACAGTTAGGGTAGATTATAAAGGTTAAAGCGAAAAACATGTCTGATTCAAAGTTTATAAAGTGAAATAAAATTTAAAGTACGAAAGAACATTCTTCACAATGATTATATGATTAAATTGATTTTTTTTGGGTGAATTTAATTCGATAAAATAATTATTGTTTCATATTTGTTTAACTTTATAAGACTCATCTGACGCATTTTCAACAGGTGATAAATTTTTTTGACACTTGAAATTTTCTTTAATGTAATGTTCATCCAAAGGATTATTTTTTCATAAAAGTTGGGTGTTTGCATTTTTGAATGATTTAGTTGATTCTTCTTCAACTTTTAAATTAAAATCTGCATTGAAACAGTCCGAATCGTTAAAAAAATTATCTACATTATTATCTTTCAATGAATTTTGTTGGTAAAATTGATTATCCATTGAATTTAGCATATTTCTGACTATTTTAGGTGTTTTACGATCAACGTAAGATGAAAAAATGTACTTTTCATCGTTCAAAACTACCAATGAATTGTGAGTCTTATGTTTTTTATGTTCTTTAAATGACTCGTCAGTAAGAAATTCATTTATATTGGTATTCAAACTGCAAGATTGCTTCGATGAAGAAGCTTGTTCATACTTAGAATTTAAAACCTTCTCAGTTCTAACGTTTTTTTTGTCATCTGAATGATCACTTAAATTATAAGAGCACGATTCCTTTTTTGAAGATGTCTCCAATATCTGGTTGTTCTCAATTACAACAGACAAAGGATTCAAATCATTTTTAAAGTCATCAAATACTTTTTTAAAAGAGCACATCTTTGTTTTATTCTCACATAAACCACTTTTTGTTTCTACTTCATTGTTTATTCTTGGTTCGAATATATATTCTTTCGATAGTTTCTTAACACTTTTATCCGAAGTGCAATATTTTTTGTTAGAATGATTATGTTTTCTGAAGCAACTTAAAACGCTTAATATTCGCGTAAAAAATCCTTTTTTATGAGTATTTGGCATTTTTATGTGAAAAATATGATGTATTTTTATATATAGATAAAAATTCAAAATTTTTTAATCTTATCGATATTGTAAATGACATTTCTCATAATGATTACATCATAAAATATAATAAAAACTGGAAAAATGGAGTGTATTATATTTTTAAAAAATCAAAATTCTTTATTGATATAATCTACAATGGTTTTTTGATTTTAACAGTAATAAATGTATCGATTAGAATGAAAATGATTAAAATATTAGAAGTAAAATCTCTAAATTTGGAACTTTCTATTCATAAAATAAGTGGATTTCACAAATTTCTATTAAACCAAATGTTTGATATTAAAAAATAATATTAATTGATGTATATATAAATGAAAAAAGTTTATAACAATTTATTTTGAAACTAAAAAATCTATAAAAAGATTTTCTTAATTTCTAAAGCTAAGTTATGCATTAAACATAGCTTAAAAATAGAATTGAAAAGCATAAAATCACTCTAGTATCGTTAATCGAGAATATGTATTTTTTCATATAAATTTATCATTTAATTGTGTTTCAATCATTGTAAAACGAACCAAATTAAACATATCAAGGATCAGAAAATATATATTTGTGAAAATGAATTATATGTTTGATATACAAATAAACGATCAATTTTTTTGTTTCGATAAATTAGTGTAAATTATGTATATCAAAATAGTATGTTTAATAGATTCAACAAATGTTAAGTTTAAAAATAAAAAAAAATAAATAATTTAATTTTCTTTTACATGCTGATAAAACAATATAAAATATATAAAAATGATAATAATTGGGTTTCACCGGAATATAATATACACACAAATATCATTTAGGATGCAATTTGCATGAAGAAATTATTTTTTGACAATTTTAAATTATGCCTTTTAAAACTTTAACTATTTCTTCTTTTTTAAATAAGTTTATCTTTTACTGAACATTTTCCACTATGAAAAAAATTTATAGATGTGATTTATTGATGTTTTTGAAAATAAAAAAAAAACTATGTATATCCGTGAATTGAAAAATTGTTTAAATAACCTAATTAAGTTTGTTTTACATTTTAAAATTGTCTAAGAAAAATGAAATGTGATGTAATCTATTAATTAAAGTGTATTTATTGAAATAATAATTGGGTTAATAGTTTATATGAATTAAGAGGTTTTTATTTTTGTTACAATGTAAGATTAAAAGTTTTGTTAATTTGAGACGTTCGTTTTTTTGGTATTTACCATGTTTTTACACAAAACTAAAATTAAAAAATTTATATAAAAAAAAATAAAATGCGAAATTTTTCAATGTTTAAAGGAATTGCATATAATATATTAAGATTCCTGTTATAGAATTAATATAAAATAGCAATAAAATTAATGGCTTGTTTTATATCAAATTGTTGTTCTTTCAATCTGTTTGTAGTATTTACTGTGATTAAATAGATAGATATAAACACTTAAAGATACATTTAATATCATTCACACTTCATCAAACAATCTTATCATTCTTACGGCTAAAATTTCAGTTTCACAAACCAAGAAAAGAAATTATTTTGATGAAAGAACCAATTTTTTCATAAAAAAATGTATTAGAAGTTTTTAGTCATCATAAATTCAATAAAATTTTATATTTAGATATATAAAAATTCATAATAAGCATATTCAATCGAAAATTTTGCTAATTGATTTTTGTAATTTTAATATATTTAAATAATTTTGAATATTAAACGTCAACTTGCAGTAAAAATGAAGAAAAAAACAATATTTCTCACACAAATAATGATAATTCTAAATATTTTATAACATTTTATTATATTCTAAACTATAAGCCTATATTTTTATTTTTTTTATTCTTGCAAAAGTATTTTCTAACATTTTTCCATAAAATTTGATTTCATCATTAAAATTCATTGAAATTCACTAGTTTTTTTTACCGTAATTTTGATATTAGCGATATTAAAATGCTGTTTGCCATTAAAATGCTATTAAATTAAATCGTAACTGCAGTCTTTAAAATAGATTACTATTTATATTGTCGAAAAAAATAACGACCGGGTGGCGCAATGGTAGCGCATTTGACTCCAGATCAAGAGGTTGTGGGTTCAAGTCCTGCCCCGGTCAACCAAATTTTAAAAAAAAAAATGTATTAAGAAAAAGACCGTTTAAAAAGAATTTTTTAATTAATGGTTTATTTCAGAAATTATGTTTTTGTATAATTTGAACGATTCTTTTACTAAATTTCCGATTTTTAAATATTCCTCTATCAACTCGTCAATATTCTCAACAGAATTGTTTAAATTTTCAAGGTCTTGTAGCAACTTTTTCGAAACACTATTTAATGCAAGAACATCACTTAATTGCTGACTTTTATTGTGTATATTCATTTTATAAGTAAATGGGGTTAATTTTGAATTTTTTAGACATCAGTCCCAAATAAAGTTTTTGCTCACATATTTCTGATATTTTTTTATCAATGACATAAAAATATAAATACTTGTGAAAATTCTCGTGTTTTCATGATTATTTCAAGTTTTTATTTCTTTTGAAAAAACATCTGCAATTCTTTGATAGTTGAAAATAAAACAAAATTTTTAAGGCTAACCGAATACATTAAATTATAATAATAATCCATATTTTTCTTTTTCAATCTTTATATCTTCATATTAAATCATATTTGTATCTAACAAGATTTTTTTAAATATAATTGGTATTTATCATTTGTTTAATTATTTCTTGTGATTATTGAAATTATTTTTGATTTTTATAATAAAATTCAAATTTTTGTGCAGATACTTAATGCTATCCAATAAATTCACATTGCACAATAAATATTGTTAACAATATATTGAAATTTAAATTCACCAAAAATGTACAATTTTTTTAAAGAATTGGTCTCAAAAAAAACAAAACACAGATTTAAATTATATTCTTCTATTTATAAACCTTGGCAATGAACTGAAAAATTCATTCTAAAATAATTGCAAAGAATCTACATAAAACATTTTTTAAAAGATAAACCGATGTATCAATTTGATATTATCAATAATATTGCAGCAGCATTTGCTTGCTGCAAAATTCACGAAAAGAGGTAAAAATAATGTAGAATTAAAACAACCAATCAGATTTCGCCAGATAAAAAAATAACACAAATTAAACTTATTATAAATAGTAAAAATGGTAAAGACACCAGAGAACATATAAATAGACAGAAAATTTAAGAACAGTGGCCTTAACGATTTTAACAACTCTAAGGAAAAAAGTTACTCAAGAAATCTATATAATAAATATTCAAACTACCAATATATTCTTTCTTCTTTTTCTCTTTTTAATATGTTCGTCAGCCCATCTCCTCATATTAATAAATCTGGTAATATGCAACATTGTTTTTGATGAAGTTTCTATTATTTCAATGTGGTTTCGAAGTTTTCTTGAAATAATCCAGCATTTGAAGACTTAAATTGAACAATCATAGCATAACTATACAAAAAAATTAAGTTCAACACCTTTAAATTTCAAAAAAAGAAGATAATTTTCATTGTTTCAATAATAATCGACACACTTATATTGTATTTGCTTTTCTTTCAGGATTTTCCATTTAGCCTATTTATCACTACTATCATTTGACAGCTTATTGAATAAGTCAAATCTTTATCTAAAATTATGAAAAAAGTCACGATGTGAAAGGAAAATCACAAGTTGAAATTATAATGAATTTTTTTTGTAAAAAAATTTTAAAAGAAACTTTAGATCTCAAATAGTTTCTAACTTACATTTATTGATACAAGTAATCCGAAAAAAAAATTAAAATAAATATTTTCCAAAAACATAAAAAAATAACAAATTAATTCTAATTCACATATTTAATACACGAAACTGTCAAAATATTAATAATTAATTTTAGCCTAACTTATTTCTTATTTTAATTGCAAAAATCGAATATAAAATTTAATAATTTACAATAGATTTATGGATAGTTTATTGATATCGATATTCCAAAAATTACAAAAATATTTTCTATATAAATCTATTGAGCCAATTAAAATGTGTATCTAAGTAAAATTTCAAAATTTTAGATACTATACGGTTGGATAAGAAATCGTCATTATAATTTGAAAAATCAATAAAAATTAAAGAATAATCTTTGTGCATTTTTATCTTAGATTAAATTCTTTACATGCCTTTTACTAGATTATATACACCAATCGTCATTTTTCAGATGACTTCGAAATCAACTTCAAATTTATAAAAATTCAACAGTTAAAATTTATATAAACAAATTAAATTCGTAATTATTTCTGATAAAATTTTTGTTTTAACTTATCCTTATAATTTATAATTATTTAAAATAAAAGTTTAATTGTATTTTTCAAAATATTCGATGTGTTTAAATTTTCGAATATAATTTAAAATATTTTTTAGTGATCAATAATTATTTGTAAATTTATATAAAATGATTAAATATGTGATATAAATCGATTTAAATAAGATAAATTTAAAAATGCCTTAGCATTCAACGTAAACATAAATCAGAAAAATCAATATATGGATTTCTTCTTACTAGCCTTTTACAAGGTTCTGTAGAAAAATACACAAAAAAAATATTTCATAAACATTTTTGAAAAACTTGCTTATGATATTTTCAAGGAATATTTTAAAAAAATTTATTTTTAATATTATTTCATACATTAAACATATAACAGGTTGTGGTAGGTTTGCGTGCAATACCAAATCTAAAATAGGTATTCTATAAAGAGGTTGACTTAAGAATTCTCTAAGCACATTCGTCCGACTTAAATGTTCACAATATTCGCTATATAAGGTCGACCGGTCTTAGTACTCACCGTTTTTTAAACTGAAGCCCATGAAAGCGTGGGTTGAGTGTTTTGACAAAAATTAATCATGTCATTCCTCTATAATGTAGTTGACTGACTAATTTTTGCTCTATTTGAAAGTCTATCAAAATAAATCTTTTCGGCTTTTCTATTATTATGATATATAGCAAAAAAAAAAGAATTTTCCTAGTGATGGAATTAGAAAGAAACTTAGAATAAATTAAAAATTTATACGAAATTCATGATAATTATTACACAGCGGAAGCTAAAAAAATTCTAATTAAATATATATCCCTTATTTTGATAGTATTGATCTTGTGTGTTTATAACATATTAAAAATTTATTTAATAAAAAAGCTTACGAAGTTAAAAATGAAGAAAAACATTGGTTAAAGGCACGAAATATGTATATTTCTCTAAAAAGAACGAAGACTTTCTTATGAGTGAGTAAAAAATCTATATGAGTATCAAAAAAAGTCAATACACATTTTATCTTTCCTTAATATAAAAAGTATTCATTTAATTGCCCAAGAAAAAACAATTTAAAGAAGGCAAAAGGTATAAATTGATGGAGAAATTGTGCAGATAACATAACAGTTCGTTGTTTTGAAAAAGTAGATTAATCATGTAATTTTTATACCATTCCTATTATCAGTGACTTTTCTTATAGTAACTTCAAAAAATATTATAATCACAATAATATTAAGTTGCAATATCTTGCTTTCTATAGTAATGCTAATAAAGATTTTGTCTAAAAAAACATTAAAAATTGCAAATATTTTAAAAAATAAATTTTTTATTTGTAAGGAATAAAATAATATCTGACCTAATTAACTAGTAATAATGAAAAATCAATAAAATTTATTCTTTAGATAAAAATTCAATACTGTGATATATAATTTCAATTTACTGTTAGTGCCACAATTGATAATAAAATGACACATTGCAATGCCTTATTTTATTTGACTAATTAAGTATTTTTAGAAACGTCTTCTAATTTGACAAGTTGTCCTTATTTGCAACAAATTTTCACATTTAAGTAAAATAGCGAGCAATTAGAAAAAGTTGATAAAAAAAATAAAGATTATTTGAAGAAGAATATAAATCAAAAAAAAGACAAATAGAATGAATAGTTTAGATATTATTTCAATAGTAGTAGTAACAGTAATAGCGGAAACAAGGATAATGGTAATATTTAGAATAAAAATAAAACCAAAAATATAATAATCTATAGTTTTTAAGTATTTTTATTAAGTTTGTCATATACATTCGTTGCATGATAAATACATTCTAAACAAAAAAATTACTATGAATAAATATAGATAAACCAGAATATTCAACATATGAATTTCAAATTTGAGAAGACACGGTTGAAAAACAGATTAAACAACATAGTATTTTTTTTGTTTTCATGATAACAAATATCTAATATAGAAAATATTTTGGATATATACTATATTCAAAAATGAATCTGATTTTATTTATTGGAACAAAAAAACTAATACTGATATAAATATAAGGGTTCTAAAGGTTTTAAATGCTTTAGAAAACATTATTATTAAACAAAAAAAATAAAAAAACAAAACCCAAAAAACTGCTAAAACTTATACTTAATTATTATAAAAAATCGTAAAAAAAACAAAAAAAACTATTTACAAACAGGATTGATGTATATTGTGTATTTTGAAATCATCTATCCAACTATTTGTCGTTATGGCATATTGACAGTTTTAATTTATAAAGTGAATACAAATCCAGAAGTCTTGTATATATAGATATTTAAAAACCTACTATTGTGTCATATGAGTATAATTTATTAATGTACGAATAGTTTTTGCTTTAAAACAGAGTATAATGTATTAAAAACATATGAGAAAAAAATATAAATCCGACTTACTGGTCCTCTACCTGAAAGGTTAACTATATGATCGTGTATTAAAATATGTTTCAATATATAATAAGGAATTTTGTTGTTATAATGTTTTAAATGCCATGTACTAGTATATGAATTAACATTTTTTTCATACAGTTTGATTGTTTTTAAAACTTTAATATGAGCAAGCGTAAAATTTAAATTTATTTTTAAATTTGTAATATTTCAAAGATATTTGTGTAAATTTGCAAAATAATTTACCATAATATTATTAATTTATTTAACCAGTCGAAAATCTTTTTGAATCAGTTATTTTGGAAAACACTATGTCTGTTTTAACCATACAAGTTTTAGAGTGAAAGTTGCTAATGAAATCTATATAATTTAAATTTAAAGGAATCCTGCAGTAAATTGAT